GGATCACGAGGTCAGGAGATTGAGACCCTCCTGGCTATTTTTTTTTTTTTTTTTTTCTACTAAAAAAAAATACAAAAAACTAGCCGGGCATGGTTTTTTTTTTTTTTTTTTTTAGCTACTCAGGAGGCTGAGAGAGGAGAATGGCATAAACTTTTTTTTTTTTTTTTTTTGTGAGCTGAGATCCGGCCACTGCACTCCAGCCTGGGTGTTTTTTTTTTTTTTTTTTTCAAAAAAAAAAAAAAAAGTTGACTTGCATTCATTGTACTTTTTTTTTTTTTTTTTTTTGTGTGAGTCTATGGGGTGATCCAGCGCTCAGCTTGGGTTTTTTTTTTTTTTTTTTTTGCCATGTCCGGGTCCTAGATGGGACTCAGCACTGGGGAGGATCAGATCAGCCTTCTCCTTGATGGGTCATGACGGAGGATTCTCAGAGGGGACATTTTTTTTTTTTTTTTTTTGCAAAGTGGACAGACCACCAAAGGCAAGCTCTGTGAGCTTCCAAGTTTGGACGAGGCATCAGGCCTGGAAGTGAGGGAGTTTGGGGTGTTGAGCATTTTTTTTTTTTTTTTTTTACAAAGAGAGAAATAGCAAGTTGGAGGTAGAGTCCTTCTTTTTTTTTTTTTTTTTTTATGAGAAGATGAAGACTAGGATAGGCGGGTGTGGACACTTTTTTTTTTTTTTTTTTTATGACATGGGAAGGACCTGAGTGGGGCTGGATAGTGGTTTTTTTTTTTTTTTTTTTTTCTAATTCCTGGAACCTGTAAGTATGCTGTCCAGGAAGGTCCAGTCCAATCACATGAGCCCTTCAAAGCAGAGGACTGTCTCTGCCAGAAGAGGATTTTTTTTTTTTTTTTTTTCACAAGGGGAAGTCAGAGTCCCGCCATGACACTGGCCTTTTTTTTTTTTTTTTTTTTTGCACCTGCAGTAACCGGAGAGAGGCCTCTTGGAGCTAAGGGTTGGTGGCCCCCAGCTGACAGCCAGTGAGAACATGGGGACCTCAGTCCCACAATTTTTTTTTTTTTTTTTTTTGAAAATCTGAATGAGCTTGAAAGAAGCTTCTTCCCAGTTTTTTTTTTTTTTTTTTTGGGTGGCTGACACCCTGTGAAACCCGGAGGTGAGGGCCTTTTTTTTTTTTTTTTTTTTCTGACCAGGATGATACGTGAAATAATGCATTTGTGTTTTTTTTTTTTTTTTTTTTTGTGCCCATTTGTTATGGCAGTAACAGTACAGGGGCCACGTAAACAGACAGGACTGGAGTGAAAGAGTTGGGGGCCAGGCACAGTGGCTCAAGCCTTTTTTTTTTTTTTTTTTTTAGGCCGAGGTGAAGGGTTCACTTGAGCCCAGGAGTTCATTTTTTTTTTTTTTTTTTTAGGGAGATCCCTATGTTAAATAATACAACAATTAGCTGTTTTTTTTTTTTTTTTTTTGTGGTCCCAGCTACTGAGAGAGGTTGAGGTGGGAGGATTTTTTTTTTTTTTTTTTTTGAGGCTGCAGTGAGCTGTGATTGCGCCACTGCACTCCATTTTTTTTTTTTTTTTTTTACCCTGTTTCCAAAAAAAAAAAAAAAAAAAAAAAGCTATTTTTTTTTTTTTTTTTTTGGGCTGGAGGTGACAGGGTTGGGTGCTGAGTGGACAGATTTTTTTTTTTTTTTTTTTATGCCTGAATGAGAAAATCAAGCCTGGTAGACTTAGGCTTTTTTTTTTTTTTTTTTTTGTCATGCTCAGAGCTGGGACTGGGGGCCCTTGCCATGTTTTTTTTTTTTTTTTTTTGGGGATAAATGCCGAAAGGCGATGGTGGTGTTAGATGTTTTTTTTTTTTTTTTTTTTATATGGTGTTTGGGGCGGGGTCTGATGGGGGTACAGGCTTTTTTTTTTTTTTTTTTTCCCCTACACCTGCCGGGAGGGCCTGAGGATGTACAGTAAGTGGGTCTTTCGGGGGGACAGCCTGGAGTGGGAGGAGCTCTTGGTCCCCTCTTCTATTTTTTTTTTTTTTTTTTTCTTGCGGAGTCCATCCCGGATGGCCTGCAGGCGGTGTCTTTTTTTTTTTTTTTTTTTGCCGCCCTCCAGGGCATCCTGGTGGGACCTCCGCCGTGTTTTTTTTTTTTTTTTTTTGGCCACCCGGGGATGGAGTTCTGCATGGAAGCTGTCCATTTTTTTTTTTTTTTTTTTCAGGGCCTCCTTCTCCTCCATCCTGGGTACCTGGGGAGGAAGAACAAGGAGACCCTCTCATACTCCAAATAGCACCCCAGGATGGTCAGTCCCCATTTTTTTTTTTTTTTTTTTTTGCAGATGACAGGATGCTTTGTGGGTTCAAAAGCCCTGTTTGAGGTTTACAAAGCACTTGGGTTTACACTTAAGGAGGATTACAAATACTCTGATTTTTTTTTTTTTTTTTTTGATTGGAAAATTTGTTTGAGGGCTTTCAAAAGGGAGGATTTTTTTTTTTTTTTTTTTTATAATGCCTGTTGGGATTATAGAGCACTTTAGGATTAAATCCTCTCTGAGGTTTAGAGGGTAGCAGTTTGAAATGTACAAAGCACTTTGGGACTTTTTTTTTTTTTTTTTTTTGAAGACTCATGACCATAAATGCAATGTGTGATCCTTCATTTTTTTTTTTTTTTTTTTTTTCAAGGACAGCTTTGAGTCGAGGGAGAAAGTTTGAATTTTTTTTTTTTTTTTTTTCGGTCCTTGCAATTCAAAGGGTGGGCTGCTGTTGTGAGGTATGCAAATTAATAGGTCCCACCCCACCCAGACCTGCTGAGTCAGTCTGCCTTTTATTTTTTTTTTTTTTTTTTTGCCCTGCAGGAGATTGTTAGGTGTTAAATTGTTTCCTTTTTTTTTTTTTTTTTTTTTGGTGGCTCATGCCTATAATCCCAGCACTTTGCGAGGCTTTTTTTTTTTTTTTTTTTTAGGTCAGGAGTTTGAGACCATCCTGGCCAACATGACGATTTTTTTTTTTTTTTTTTTATATGAAAATGAGCTGGGTATGGTGGCACGCTCCTGTATTTTTTTTTTTTTTTTTTTCTAAGGCAGGAGAATCACTTGAACCTGGGAGGCAAAGGTTTTTTTTTTTTTTTTTTTTGCCATTGCACTCCAGCCTGGGCAACAGAGCAAGATCCTTTTTTTTTTTTTTTTTTTCCCCAGATTCATATTTTGAAATCCTAACCTCTAATACATTTTTTTTTTTTTTTTTTTAGAACTAGGGTCATTGCAGATATAATTGGTGAAGATGAGGTCATTAGGTTGGGCCCTAATCCAACATGACTGGTGTTCTTTTTTTCTTTTCTTTTTTTCTTTTCTTTTTTTTTTTTTTTTTTTTTTTTCTCGCTCTGTAGCCCAGGCTGGAGTGCAGTGGCACGATTTTTTTTTTTTTTTTTTTCCGCCTCCTGGGTTCAAGCAATTCTCCCACCACAGCCTTTTTTTTTTTTTTTTTTTTAGGGGCATGCCACCATGCCAGCTAATTTTTGCATTTTTTTTTTTTTTTTTTTTTTTTCATGTTGGTCAGGTTGGTCTCGACCTCCTGACCTCAGGTTTTTTTTTTTTTTTTTTTCCCAAAGTGCTGGGATTACAGGTGTGAGCCATTGTGCCTTTTTTTTTTTTTTTTTTTTTATGCTAAGGGAAAATTCGGACACAAATGCACACAGGTTTTTTTTTTTTTTTTTTTAAAGGCAGAGATCAGGATGATGCTTTCATAACCAAAGAACACCAAAGGTGGCCAGCAAAGCACCAGATTGTCCTTCACAGCCTCAGAAGGAACCAGCCCTGCTGACATCCTGATCTTGAATATCCAGCCTCCAGAATTGTGAGACCATCAATTTCTGTTTGAGCCACCCATTGTGTGGTACTTTGTTACAGTAGCCCTAGCAAAGTAATATCACAGTAACAGTTGGATAGGCCAGACATGGTGGCTTATGCCTGTAATCACAGCACTTTGGGAGGCTGAGGCGGGTGGATCACTTGAGGTCAGGAGTTTGACACCAGCCTGGGCAATATGTTGAAACCCCATCTCTACTAAAAATACAAAAATTAGCCAGGTTTGGTGGTGTGTGCCTGTAATCCCAACTATTCGGAGGCTGAGGTGGGAGAATCTCTTGAATTTGGGAGGTGGAGGTTGCAGTGACCTGAGATTGTACCACTGCACTCCCGTCTGGGTGACAGAGTGAGACTCCACCTCCAAACAAACAAATAAACACCCAAAACAGTTTGATAGCCACATTTTCTTGGGTGTGAACATGGTACTGCGGGCCAGGTGCGTTGGCTCACGCCTGTAATTTTTTTTTTTTTTTTTTTTGAGATGGGTGGATCATCTGAGGTTGAGAGTTTGAGAACTTTTTTTTTTTTTTTTTTTAACCCCGTCTCTACTAAAAATACAAAAATTAGCCAGGATTTTTTTTTTTTTTTTTTTATCCCAGGTACTCAGGAGGCTAAGGCAGGAGAATCGCTTTTTTTTTTTTTTTTTTTTTTGTGGTGAGCCGAAATTGTGCCTGGGTAACAGAGTGATTTTTTTTTTTTTTTTTTTAAAAAAAAAAGAAAAAAAAGAAACAAAATGGTAGTGTGTTTTTTTTTTTTTTTTTTTCAGTCTCAGGAGTGTCTGCTGAAGTATTTATGGGTGAATTTTTTTTTTTTTTTTTTTTTACTGTCATATGGTTCAGAAATTAAAAAAAAATACAAATAGATAAAATGTTAAGAAGCTACAATCTAGGCCGGGGGTTCTCAACCGAAGTTTGGTTTTTTTTTTTTTTTTTTTAACCGGTGCAGGTGAGGAGGCTACTTCTCTTTTTTTTGTTTTTTTTTTTTTTTTTTTTCACCTGGCTGGAGCGTAATGGTACAATCTCGGCTTACTTTTTTTTTTTTTTTTTTTGTTCAAGCAATTCTTCTGCCTCAGCCTCTCGAGTAGCTTTTTTTTTTTTTTTTTTTTACCACGCCCAGCTAACTTTTTGTATTTGTATTTTTTGTTTTTTTTTTTTTTTTTTTTACTCTTGTCGCTCAGGCTGGAGTGCAATAGCACAATCCTTTTTTTTTTTTTTTTTTTCCTCCCAGGTTCAAGCATTTCTCCTACCTCAGCCTGCCTTTTTTTTTTTTTTTTTTTTGCCTGCTACCACGCCCTGCTAATTTTTTGTATTTTTGTTTTTTTTTTTTTTTTTTTTGTTGGCCAGGCTGGTCTCGACTTCCTGACCTCAGGTGTTTTTTTTTTTTTTTTTTTCCAAAGTGCTAGGATTACAGGTGTGAGCCACCATACCCTTTTTTTTTTTTTTTTTTTTTTTTGAGACAGAGTTTCGCTCTTGTTGCCCAGGTTGGTTTTTTTTTTTTTTTTTTTCACTCACTGTGACCTCTACCTCCTGGGTTCAAATGATTTTTTTTTTTTTTTTTTTTTAGTAGCTGGGATTACAAGCACGCGCCACCATACCTGGCTTTTTTTTTTTTTTTTTTTGAGACAGGGTTTCTCCATGTTGGTCAGGCTCGTCTCAATTTTTTTTTTTTTTTTTTTCCGCCCGCCTCGGCCTCCCAAAGTGCTGGAATTATAGGTTTTTTTTTTTTTTTTTTTCCATATTTGTATTTTTTTTTTTTTAAGATGGAGTCTCGTTTTTTTTTTTTTTTTTTTGTGCAGTAGCGCGATCTCGGCTCACTGCAAGCTCTGCCTTTTTTTTTTTTTTTTTTTTCCTGCCTCAGCCTTCTGAGTAGCTGGGACTACAGGTGTTTTTTTTTTTTTTTTTTTAATTTCTTTTGTATTTTTAATAGAGACGGAATTTCACTTTTTTTTTTTTTTTTTTTTCAAACTCGTGACCTCATGATCTGCCTGCCTCAACCTCCTTTTTTTTTTTTTTTTTTTGTATGAGCCACCTCGCCTGGCCCCATATTTTGTATTTTTAGTAGAGACGGGGTTTCACTGTGTTAGCCAGGCTGGTCTTGAACTCCTGACCTCATTTTTTTTTTTTTTTTTTTTCCAAAGTGCTGGGACTATGGGTGTGAGCCACTGTGCCCTTTTTTTTTTTTTTTTTTTCTAGTGGGTATAGAGCCCAGGGATATTACCAAACATCCTTTTTTTTTTTTTTTTTTTCCTACAACAAAGATTATCCAGCTTCACGTGCCAATGATTTTTTTTTTTTTTTTTTTTGGTTTATGGAAAAGAGACTATAGGGATATTTATTGTACTTTTTTTTTTTTTTTT